TATATATATATATAAAATAAGGAATTAAGAGTCCGCACCAATGCATTCAAAAAAAATAACAGAGTTCACACAAATAGAAAAACTATGTCCACTCAATTTTTTTTTTTTTTAAATACTTTGAAAATTATTGGAGATGACCTCATATCAATAAGTAATATAGCATGATTACAATTTATAAGTGCTCACAGTGTGTACACAACATGTTTACAAGAACAAGCAGAACGACATAAAACTCCTTGATCAAAATTTAACACTAAGCTTTCTAATTTCTATGTCACGTTCTAATTGTTAATTAAGTTACATGTGTTTTTTCCTCAGTATTATATGAAGTATTTTCTTGTTAAATTTAACCAGTCTGACTTGCACGAGTCCACTTCAAACTAATTGGATGTCGGCATATCACTTATAAGCAATGAAAAACATTATTTGAAAAGGAATGAAAAAATACATATAAACCTAAAGCCTTAACCAACCATCTCCACCTTTATTCCTCTTACTTTTATACATTCTTTACTTCTCGTTCTTATGTGATTTTTTAACTATTAAAGGAATATTTAGTGTTTCAAAATGGTTGTGATATACCAATTGGGCATTGCAAGGCGAAAGACCAAAAATGCTTAAAAATTAAGATGATTGATGACGTAATTACAATTGCTAAAGTACAATTTCTGCTCTTCGCGTAATCGGTCGATTTTTTTCGCTAGCCAGTCAGGCTAATACAAAGTGAGTAATACATTTGCAAAAGTCCAGTCTGGGAACAATTAAAAGCACATGAACTATGTAAAGAATTATACTCATGTATTTTATCATTTATATTTTATAAACTATTAGACGTTATTCAAATTACTATTTTCAAATTGTTTACCAATTGGCTTTTACAACAGACCAAAAATGGTAGTACATTGGAATTTGATAGAGTCGATCAATCAACAAGATGCTTTTGGGGGCTTCTGGGATAACTGTTTTAGTGAAATCAAGAGGGCGGGGACTTGAGAAATTGAAACAAGATGCTCATCAGGTGAACAATTTGCTCTTTTTTCATTACTACTATTTAGCAAATTCTGCAACTATAGTAGAACATCTTCAACCACTTAATCTTTTTAAATGATTATTGCAGCCAGAGACAAAATTACAAACAAGGATGCTCTCCAACAGACATTTTCTAGCATTAGAAAAGAGAAGAAAACACAAGAAACAAACAATGAACCAAGTTTTCTCACTTTGATTTCTTTCCCTGCTTCTTTTTTATCACTTCATCAATGTACATTATACCTTTGCCTTTGTAAACTTCAGGGGGCTTACAGCTCCTTACAGAAGCAGCAAACTGATGCACCCTATATTTGTCAATCCCAGTGCAGCAAATCACATTGGGTTTGAAACAGAACACGCGAACTGCAGGGGGCACACTCAGTTCAACCTCATGACTGTAGCCAAGCTTGAGGTACAAGAGACGACCCTCGGATTCTGCTCTAGCCTTGAAACCCACTCCAACAATCTTGAGAAACCGAAAGAATTTAGCTTCCATGGGATGAATTTTATCAATCAGCTGAAACATGAGATTATATGACGAAAGCTACATCAGTAGAGTAGAAAATTATTGTAGGCCAAACAAGAAAAAACCTAGACAACATTACATCAGCAAACATTTTTCCACTAATTTAAAGCAAGCAAGGAATTGAGATTTTATTCGAAGAGAAAAATCTCAAATATCTGGAGTTTCTTTTTGGATGATCCGATCCACAAGGATCATGATTGGGAATTGTTTGATTGACTTTCTATGAGAAAAGGTCAAATAGAATCAACTTGAGTTCGGGGTCGTTATTTGAAGTCTTGGTGGAATACTGGATTTCAGCTTTTCATGAAAAAATACCAATTGAAATGGAGGGTCTCTTCAAAAAACAAGGAGCTGGTAAACTATTAAATCCAATAATATTGAGCGCCAAGTGTTTTTTCCTAAATGAGGTTTAATAATGATGGAAAATCTCATATTTACACTAAAGAAGAGAATCTACAACAATAAAGAAAGTGGAACCTCAAGGGAATACAGGAAGGAACTCAAAATAGGTTGTAGGACTTTCACGATGTTTCTAAAATCTTCCTTTTCGACAAAACTAGTCAACAATTATCATCCTAAATCTAAAGCCCTCCTACATAGTTGTTGATCAAATTTCCAAGAGATAAATAAATGCTGCCTCATCCTATTGACCACTTGGAATTGGTTGAAAGCCTATTTTTGTTTAAACTAGTTTCACCTTATGGGGAAAGTTCACACACTTTAATGTACCATTATCTGTTGAGTGAGAAGTTACAGCTTATCATAATACTTACACTTTGAATTTACTGTCCTTTTAGAATCAGTAAACTTTTAAAAATGTACCTACTCAACAGATCTAATATTAGTGGGTTTCCATTTCTTTAAATCAGTTCCATTTGTGGATATGTCACCTACTTGCAATCTCTAACATCTATGAAAACAAACAATAAATTAATATCAATTGCACATTTGACTTACTGAAGAAGTAGAAGATATTCAACCTTTGGACCTGCCGATGATTCTCTCACAGACGACTATCGGAGATTGAACCACTGCAACTCGTAGTCGGTCATCAAATGGTACTCGTCGTCGGAGAACCTGAGACTGAAGAGGAGGAACGGGGAGATTGTGAGGCTGAAACCAAATGCTAAAACCCTAATAAACCTTTTTAAATTTTATCGGCTGGCCACAAGGACCAAAACCTCAAGCTGTCCTTTGGTTCCTAAAAAAGTACAAAATTAGCATTCATTTTCTAACAGTTAGTTTTTGTTTTTGTCCTCATTGTTTCTTTCATTTCTCTTTTTTTATTTCTCTTTTTTTATTTTTCACCATGTATGCATTAATGTCGTGACTCATAATCTTCCACCAGTTTCTATAAATTTTTCACATACTAACGACTAATTTTCATATTTCTTTTCTTTTTAATATTTTGTATTATGACTATTTTATTCATGTTAACATCCAGCCTCGTTGGCACTTATGGTCTCTGCACGATCAAGAGGGGGAGTTTAGAAGGCATCAACATTTTATTATTGTACTTTACAAAGTATGCAATATGCGTACATTCATACCAGTTTTCTAGGCATAAACGAGTGGAGTATATTTTTTCAAATGATAGTAAACGTAGCACCAAAAGAATTTATTAATGGGAGATAGATTTGCATAGAAGAAAGAAAGTACCTAAATCTTCTTTGTCATTAGCTATAGTACTGTATAGGGTAAAATCGGTTCATAATAAATAGGGATTTCAACGACCATTATAAGAGCACGAATTTTCTGACAAACTAATGCTATACATTATTCTAAGCTCAATAACACTTTATTTCTTGTTTATTGGTATTATTATTTCCTACGGAAGCTCTGCTCCCGGAACCAAGCTATCTGCTATCTTATCTCGATTTCTACGCTAAGTCTTGTATTTTTGTTTAATTTATTTATCATTTTGGGATCAAATCAATCCGCTTGTCTATAAACCACGTATAAATCCAAATGTACTATTTTATGGGTAAATAATTTGGCGCCCACCATGGGGCTTAGACAGTTGCGTAATTGGGTTAATCCTTGCATCTATTACTAACTTGTTTAAATTCTTTGTTTCTTAGCGAAAATCATAAAAAATGGCAGATAACGATGTTAACATCACGCAACGTTGAGGCCCAAGGAAATCAGCCTCAACACGAAGATTCGATCAGCGATACCTGCAATAAGGAGGGCGTAGCCACGCCGATCATGGCGGACAGTATCCACAACACGTTTGAGAGGTAACTCCTGCACGTTGTGGAAATAATGGGAATCTTAACGGAGCAACAAAGGGCTATTATGGGTCATCTCTCATGACAAGATCAGTTCATAACGGAGTTGAAGCAAGCGTTGTCGGGTGCTTCCAACAAGGTGAATGGAAGAGGTCCAGTTCCTCCTGGTGCTCCCGCAAACCAAACAACACAAAGGGTTGATAACAACGCCCTGAGGGGTGAGGTCGGCTTCGACAGGGCAGGGGGAAACAATGGATTCGGTAACAATAATGAGAATAGTCCCTTCAAAACCGAACTCATGCGGTTCATGAGGAAAATAAATGCCCGAATGGACCAAATCCCGGGTGCACCGCCAATGTTGAAAGGATCAGACTCAAAGAAATACACCAGTTGCCGTTCAAACCAAGCGAGGCACCGGAGTTGATCTTGAAGCGATTCAAAATGTCAGACGTTACAAAATATGATGGGACTTTGTATCCTCAGGAGCACATCACCATCTATACAACGGCAGTGAGATTGAATCAGTCTTGTTGAAGAAGTTCGGGGAGACCCTCACGAAAGGGGCCCTGACATGGTACTCACTTTTACCCGAGCACTCAATAGATTCCTTCGAGATGCTCGTGGATTCTTTTATCAAGGCTCATGCCGGGGCCAGGAAGGTACATGCCCGAAAGGCTAACATATTCAGAATTGCACAAGGAGAGTCTGAATTGCTGCGGGAGCTTCTGACCAGGTTTCAGAAGGAGAGGATGCTGCTACCATTCGTGCCGGACGAATGGGTAGCGGAGGCATTTACTAAAGGGCTGAATCCGAGGAGTTCTGACACTTCCCAGAAATTGAAAGAAAGTCTGCTCGAGTTCCAGGCAACAGCATGGGCAGATGTTCACAACCGCTACAATTCAAAGATAAGAATTAAGGATGACCAGCTCGGTTTCCCAACATCAACCAAGGGTCGGGATCGAAAGAAGAATAAGTAAAAGTTGAAGGATGATTTTGACGCAGACCGACGGTCTTCCAGAGGTCGATTTTTGCCCTGCAAAGGGCCGAAGGACGCGACAGAGGTTTTCGGTCAACAGATACCGATAGGAGAGCGAATCGCGGCCGAAATAATAGATCGTTGCAAGACAAAGAGGTATTGGGCCCCCGCGACTCTGCCTACTCCAGGTTGTCCGAATACAATTTCAACGTCAGCGTAGTGGAACTAGTATCACCTATGAGGAATATTAAGGAAGCACGGTTCCCGAGGCTGATGAGATCCGACATAGTCAGAGGGACCAACGACCATCGGACTGGGGACTGCTGACATCTGCACGAGGAGGTAGGTACATTACTGAAAAACGACCATCTCAGAGAATTCTTAAGCGACCGGGCTAAGAACAATTACGACTATAACCAGGATAAAGCGGAACCCTCAAAAAAAGGACAAGATCCCCATCGTCTAACAATCAACATGATTTTTTGGGGGAACGAGATTAATGGTGTAACTTTTTCGGCAGCAAAAAAGACAAAGGTATCGGTGACCCATAGAAAGAGACTCTAAGAAGTCGCTGAGGACGACATCACCTTCACGGAGGAAGACACAGATGGACTCCTACTACCGCAAATTGATTCCCTGGTAATTTCTCTTAATGTTTTAGATTTTAGAATTAAACGTGTTTTGGTGGACCTAGAGAGTTCAACCAATATTATCCGATGGAGAGTGCTAGAACAAGCCAAGCTGACCGGAGCATCGTTCTGGCCACAAAGCTCCTCGGCGGGTTCAATTTAGCAAGCGTGACAACCCGAGGGGAAATTCTGCTGCCCACAAATGCCGAAGGGGTAATGAAGACGACCCTTTTTGAAGTAGTAGATGGCGATATGGGCTACAATGTTGTTCTGGGAAGACCATGGCTACACAAGATGAAGGTTGTTACGCCAACATACCATCAACTTCTGAAATTCCCAACTCCGGGAGGGCATTAAACAAATAAGAGGAGACCAACCGACAGCAAGGGAGATGAATGCGATCTGAGTTTCCAATAGTAAAGGGAAGGAGCATACGTCATAGCAATTACAGGAACCGATGCTTGCTCCCGAGATGAACAGAGTCAACAGGGGGGAGGAGTCGTTGAATTCCTATCAGGTACCAAGATATTTCCATGTACCAGAAGAAACAGACGCAACCAAATCCACAGCGGAAGAACTCGAGCAAGTCGCATTATTTGAGAAATTCTTGGAGAGAAAGTTCCACTTGGGGGCAGGACTAAACCCCTAGCTCAGGTTAGATTCATAGAATTGCTTAAATTTAACGTTGATTGTTTTGCGTGGTCGCATGCGCTTATGACAGGTATCCATTAGAGGTGGCCATGCATAAGTTAAGCCTGAATCCTAATATCCCTCCGATAAGGCAGAAGAAATGCCATATTGCCGAGGTCAAGAAAAAATTTGTCAAAGAAGAGGCAACTCGATTGCTTGATATCGGTTCAATCATGGAGGTAAATATCCTGACTGGCTAGCTAATATAGTAGTAGTTCCAAAAAAGAATAATAAATTTTGCATGTGCATAGATTATAAGGATCTGAATAAGGCGTGCCTGAAATACTCGTTCCCATTGCCAAATGTTGATCAAATGATGAGACGGCGGGGCATGAGTTGATGAGTTTCCTCGATGCCTATTCCAGGTACAATCAAAACAAAATGAACCCGGAGGATTAGGAAAAAACTTCGTTCATAACAAACTTTGGCACATATTGCTATAATGTGATGCCTTTCGGGCTTAAGAACGCCGGAGCCACTTATCAGAGACTCGTGAACAAAATGTTTGAAAAACAAATAGCGAAAACAATGGAAGTTTACATAGATGATATGCTGGTTAAGTCTTTGAACGCAGGGGATCATCTGAAACACCTCCAAGGAACTTTTGACATCCTACGGAAGCACAACATGAAGCTTAACCCTGAAACACATTCGGAGTCGGCTTCGGTAAGTTTTTAGGGTTGCTGGTGTCACAAAGGGGGATCGAAGTCAATCCCGAAAAAAATAAAAGCCATCGAAGACATTGCCGACCAGTTGTCAAATGTGAAAGAGGTTCAGAGGTTAACAGGAAGACTGGCTGCTTTAAGCAGGTTCATTTCCCGATCTTCAGAAAAGTGACATCACTTTTTCTCACTTCTGAAGAAGAAGAACATCTTTGAATGGATTCCGGAATGCTAGAAGGCTCTAAAAGATTTGAAAAGGTATTTATCGAGCCCTTCATTACTATCAAAATCGGAGGAAGGCGAATAGTTGCTGATTTACTTAGCGGTCTTGGAGGTAGCGGTACGTCCCTTTTTAGTCCGTGAAGACGAAGCTACGTAATCTGCTATTTATTATTGTCACGACCCAAACCGATGGGCCGCAACGGGCACCCAGTGCCTTACTCGGCCGAGTACCAACGTAACGTATATACACGTGACATACTGGCCTAATAGGCCAACACGATCCTTTATAAACTCAAAACGTAGGCCGACAAGGCCGTACAATCTTTCATATACACGACATATGTCTACAAGCCTCTAAGAGTACATAAATGTCATAAAGGCCGGGATAGAGTCCCGCCATACCAAACAATACACGTCTAGATCATACTAACCAAACAAGCAACTCCGAAGCAAATGGAGTGCACCAACATCTTTCACTGAGCTGATAACCTCGTGGAGGGCTCTCGACCTGTCTATCGGGACCTGCGGGCATGAAACGCAGCGTCCCCAGGCAAAAGGGACGTCAGTACGAATAATGTACCGAGTATGTAAGGCACATAAGTAAGTACATAAGAGACATGGAAGAAATATAGAGTACATGACTCAACCTGCAAGTCTGAATAACTTTATAAATCATAAATTACTTTTAGCGTTATGCATATACGTATGAATGTCATGTCGTGCATAGGTACATGTTTCATAACGTCATCAGCCTTTGAGGGCATCCCATCATATCATACCGGCCACTGTGGGCAAAATCATCATCGTATACCAGCTGAT